CGTCCCACGTCGTTCTTCTCCGATGGTGCGTCCCACGTTGATCTCGTCCCACGTCGTTCTTCTCCGATGGTGCGTCCCTCGTTGATCTCGTCCCACGTCGTTCTTCTCCGATGGTGCGTCCCACGTTGATCTCGTCCCACGTCGTTCTTCTCCGATGGTGCGTCCCACGTTGATCTCGTCCCACGTCGTTCTTCTCCGATGGTGCGTCCCACGTTGATCTCGTCCCACGTCGTTCCTCTCCGATGGTGCGTCCCACGTTGATCTCGTCCCTCGTCGTTCCTCTCCGATGGTGCGTCCCACGTTGATCTCGTCTCCCGCTGCTCTCGTCTCACAGCGCTTCCCCAGCCTGCTCTCGTCTCTTGACTGTCCCTCTTCCCTATAACTAACATTCCCGAATTCAACTTGTTCCCCGATTGAACGCGCGACAGTGACGGGCGACCCACGTGACGCCGCGTCCCACGGTCGCGCGTCTACAGTGAATGTGACGTGACTACTGAATGAACTATTACCAAATGAATAACAATTAGACTAGAGGGCTACAACCAGCTTTCATGCACTAGTTTGATTATTTGCCGTTTCATGCCGATGAAAAGTTGCGTGTTTCCAGCGGAGCGCGCAGCGTTCAAAGTCGCTACGTTAAAAGCTTCAGTTTAATCACTGAATGGAGCTCGCGACATTAAATTGCTTACACAAAACTCTTGATCGGCACTCAGCGTTTGTTTATTGTTGTTTATTGTTGTCGTTCATTCAAACCGCTCTGCGGAGAGAGAGAGAGAGAGAGAGAGAGAGAGAGAGAGAGAGAGAGAGAGAGAGGTCCGCGCTCTTGTCCGTCAGTTAATTTACTTATTTGTGTGCAGGTAATATGTTGTTAAATCGGTTTAAACTTCAATAAACGACCTATCCAAGTAGTTCTGTCTCGTTGTATTCATTTGTCCTGTTATTGACGCGCCTAATGCGCAACCAGATATTGGAATATATTCGAACGTCATTTCTGAACAATTTTGACAGCCGTAGTGTTGACAGAACAGAGTGAAGACTTCCCAGTACAGCTACAAGTTACAAAGGAAAAATCAAAAATCGGCACGGCTCTGGACTTTATGAAGACACTGGGCGCATTAACTAATGTGCTTATTATGGTCACTTTGATATTTACACACTCACTTGAGGGTTACAAGCCAGGTCTAACTTGTTCCCCCATTGCTTTTATGGGTGCAATATAACCGTGGATACTATACAACATGGAGATGGTTGTGGATTTCAGGAAGAACAGAGCCCCGCCTTCCACCATCACCCCGTGTGGGCTCCATCATCACCCAGGACCTCAAGAGGGAGCTGAACATCAGCTCCATCCCCAAGAAGGCTCAGCAGAGGGTGTTCTTCCTGAGGCAGCTGGAAAATAAATTCAACCTGCCAAAGACGATGACGGTGCACTTCTACACGGCCATCATGGAGTCCATCCTCTGCTCCTCCATCACCGTCAGGGGGGGACAAGATCAATAGATTCAATTCAATTTTACATTGATTTTATTCTATTTTGTATAGCCCAAAATCGCACACATGTGACATCCGCTGTCCCGAAACCCTCACATTGGCACAGAAAATACATGAATGCAGTACTCTATATCCCAAATCCACACTCTACTGGACTGATGTACAGTTGTATGATGGGAAATGTATAAACCAGGGGCCTGTTTCAATAAGGAGGTTCAACCAACTCTGAGTTAAAACTTGAACTCTTACCCTGAGATGGGAAACTCTGAGTTTTCGGTTACAGAACAGCTGAAATGAGTTAGTTCAATCAACTCTGAGTTGACCTACTCTGAGTTAAGCGCGTGCACCACAACTATAAAAAGCCATTATCAATGGAGCGCAGATATTACGAGTCACCATGGCAACAGCGCCAGACAAAAAGAGGTCTTCATATTTTTCACCAGCAGAACTGGATGTGCTTATGAAAATAGCTGCTCGAGTCAATGCGTAAGTTTACATTTGAATTACTGTTATACAGTGTTGTGTGTAATTAATTTCTATGTAATCTAAAAACTGTCATTTAATTCCGTAATTTAAAGTAAAATCTGATGTAATTGCATTAAATGCTGCATAAACTATAAAGCAATTCTGTATAAAACAATAGTGGATTTAACATCAAATTTTAAAAGATATATTTTTTCAAGAATAATTCATGCAATTGTATAATGTTTATTTGAAAGCATTAAAAGTGCAGTTTCTTGTCTCTCCTTGTATTGTTCAAGTGGTTGAGGTTAATATGGGATTTAGAAAGTAATTAGTAATAAGTAGACCAATACTTTCTAGAGATAGTCATTATTACATTAATCTAATTACACTGTTGAAGAAGCCAGTTGTAGTTAGTAATATAAGTGACTTGCCCAACTGTTATAATATCAGAAGTGAAACTGGAAGAACAGCGTGTTATTCAACCTAATTTTAATTTTCATGTAGGTGCAATCCTTCAGGCATTAAAAGAACATGGCAGCAGCTGAAAATGAAATATAAAAACATAATTCAATCAGGTAAGGCTTGAACATATCATGGTTGTAGTCTACCTGACTTTACAAACATTTGACATATAAATAACTAAATAGCATCCAGTGTCTAGCAGTGCAGCAGCATTTTTGACATGGGTCTAAATGTTCATTCTCATTTGACTACTCAGCCAACAGAAAGAAGGCAGAGGCTCGCAAAACGGGGGGAGGACCTGCACCACCACCTCTGACAAATGCAGAGGAGATGGCCCTGAGCCTGAATGCTGGAAGGCCAATGGCTGAGGGAATTCCTGGAGGGACTTCATCAGAGCCAGTCACTCCAGAAGATTTAAGTGCCTTCATAAAATGTAAGAGGTCTACCTATGTGTTGTGTTTTTATATAGGCTATTTGTGATATTTCCATTTATTTTACTTGGTGGGTTTTTCGTTGGTCCCAACAGATTCTGATGGTAAAATTAGTCTTTTGGAGCCTCCTGTCCCAACAGAACCACAGGCAGTTGTAAGTAGCCTACTCAATACACCAGAAATTATTACAAATAGTGTTATAAAGTGTACTCAAATGCTCATCTTCACAGGATGATGGGGATGAAGAAACAGTTTCTGCTGCCACAGAGATGCCTACAGAGGTAATGTTAATATTATGTGTCTATCAAACAATCTACACATTCACATTTCTTCACCTTTTTTATGTGGATAGAATCTAAGTTTAAATATGGAATATGGATATGACAAAAAATCCACTCTGGGTCTCAAAATCCTCTCCCGACGTAAATGCAACTCCCTACGGATTAATGCAGCCTCTTCATCCACAGGATCGTCCATAAAAGGACATGCCATTTCATTCACTTGATTTGATGCGCTCTGCGTGACTGAAATGTGCGCAATGAATGAATACCGAAAGAATGAATGAGGTGATTAAATACCACTTCCTCTTTAAAAATGGGGAGGAGACGAAATAAACTCTGGGTTTCCCGAAGAAAACCTGCTCCCGACCAAGTTAGGTTCACAGAGTAAGTTGCCATGGTAACTGACTCTGAGTATAAGTTACCTCTCTTTCTGAAACAGGCTTGACTTACTCTGCTTTCTCAGGTTTAACATACCTCCCATTCTGAAACAGAAAACTCAGAGTTTCCCTCATTTCAGGGTTAACATACTCAGAGTTTTCTCTTAACCTCCTTTCTGAAACAGGCCCCAGGCGTTTGTCACAATAAACATTTCCATCTCTACAGTTCTGACCATGAAGTGGGCCATTAGTGTGACATGGCCCAAAATATATCTGTATTTAATATTTCTGTGTACATCAGTCCGGTGTATATATATAAAAAATATGACTAAATCTATGTATGAATGAAACTAAATAAAAAGTGGCTGCCAAAATTAACACTGCTCCTCGTACTGGACGCATCACACTTTCTTTCACCGCTGTGTTCCACCTCTTGGACATTAGATCACGTGTTTGTAGAGTTTTGAAGTTGTAGTGCTTCCTCTAGGACCTGACAGTGGAGTTGTCCCACTATATATTGCACTTGACTCTCAATCGGAGCGTAGTGAGAGTCGAGCAACTCTGTTCTGCTTGATGGCGTAATGTTCCTATCGTCTGTGACCCTGCACCTCCCCAACAAAGCCAACCATGATTATCACAACTCAGAATGGAGTGAGACAGGGAGAAAAGGCGATGTGGTCTTTGCAATAAAACACATTTAATGTGACGGCATGAGTCTTAGCCAATCTGCGTTTATTGCTACAGCGTCTTCATTTCCCCTCCCAACTTTTCATCCTAGCATTCCAAATTGAAGTTACTGCGGACACTTGATTATTATTATTACTGCAGGTGTTTTGGCGAAATCAGTGGTCTTAATCAGATCTGTTTATTATTTTGGTCAGAACAATCCAAAGGCCGTGGTTATAAAAGCTTGAGGGTTCATCAGATGACGTGGATGTGATATGGCGGACAAACATGGGCTAACTCTTCATTTGCATCAAATGCAAAGTCATACATGTTATAAAATGCAGTTTTCTGGATTTTTTTGGTTGATATTCCGTTTCTCACTGTTGCAATACACCTACCATTACAATTATCGATCACACATTTCTTTGCAACTGGCCAAACTTGCGAAATCGGCAGAGGTTCAAATACTCATTTTCCCCACTGTAGGTTACCATTTTTGTCAAAGACTTTGACTATTACATTACGTTCATGCAGTCAACATTTGCAGTGTTGACCCTTGTTTTTCAAGAACTCTGCCATTGACCCCGTCCTGCTGTCAGTTCATTTGTGGGCCACATCCTGACTGACGGCAGGCCATTCTTGCATTATTAAGGCTTGAAGTTTTTGTTTGTCCAGCTGCCTCTCGAGGATTGACCACTCAATGGGATTAAGGTCTGGGGAGTTTTCGGAATACGGTCATTCTCAAAACGAATGGCCATGGCTGTTCAACCTGATGCATTTATCATTTGTTAGTAGAAATTGTCTATGCATTGTGTGTGTATTCATTATTCAACGTAACATTTCTTGTGGTGGTCGTTTGTTTCAGATTATGAAGCTATTGTGAAGCTGTCAGACGGTTTCAACGGCGCTGATCTGAGGAATGTGTGCACAGAAGCAGGTTGGACATCATTCAGTCATGTAATTAGTTTCATTACCTCAATGCGTGTTGTTCACGGGTTGGTTTGTTGCAGGTTTGTTTGCTATCCGCGCTGACAGAGAGTACGTCACTCAAGAGGACTTCATGAAAGCCGTGCGGAAGGTGGCGGATTCCAAGAAGCTTGAATCCAAGCTGGACTACAAGCCTGTATGAATCAAATGTCATTGGCCTTTTCCCATATTTTCATTGATTTGCTGTGTTTGTTCTCCAGGTTACCAATTTAGTGATTTTTACTGAGTAACCCCTGTTTTGCCTTTAATTAGTACATAAGAATTAGCTCATAAAGGCTGATCATTCTCCCATCTCACAGAACATCTGTTAAAAGAAACTTGTACTAAAAATACACTGTTATATGGGAAAGTCCTTGTTTTTTATTCTTTGATCTCATTGCCATAAAGTGAGTGTGATGGATATTCAGCAACCCACTGACTGCATTTTGCAAAACCCATTAAAGGTAAACATTACACAACATTAAAAGTAGTGTAAGTGGCTGCAACAACAAGAGCTGTTTGAATTCTCTAAACGCTAAGGCAGGAGCTTCAATGCTTCCCTACTTGGCTCCTTTAGCAGAGGAACCGCTGGACCATCCTTTACAAAAGGAAAGGAGATGATTCCATCGCATAATCCCTTGCGCCGGCAACATTTAAATAGTGATCATTTGGCGTTCACGAGGGGAAAAAAAAGGATCATGACTGAGAAACGCGGACTCATTTATTCTGCATGACTCAGCACTGTAGCAGCTCATGAACCGAGTGATCTAAGATGCGCTTCTTTATAGTCCATCTTCAGAGAAATCTTAGTTTCGCCGCTGCACACTGATGTCACGAACATGCTTCTCCCATTAGTTTGGTGAAAGCAGTCGGATTACTAATGACTAGGGGTGTAACGATTCATCCTCTGAATCAATTAATCGATTTATATTCCTGCGATCCAACTGAATCGATCTGTGCTCCGCAAATCTGCATTCCGATTACATATCGATTGAAATGGTACATAATTGATTTCTATCGATACTTGGAAACTTCACATTGGATTTAAGCACAAAACCGGTATGGATGTGTGTTTGTTTGTTTTTTGGCAATTTAGACACGTTAAACGTTACTGGATCCAGTCTGCCTGTCTGTGACGTCATCAGTACGCAGCGGCAGCCGCGTGAAACTCTGAACAACAACAAAACACAAATAAAGACAAATAAAAACCACGGAAACACAACGAATCTTTCCGGTCATCTACTACGGCGCCGTGGGATTAAACAACGGCGACAGTCAGGACATCTAGCAGCGTCACCGCTGCAGCAGCAGCAGGTAACTCAGCTCTGCAGACGCCTCAGGCCTCGCCATGTTCAAATCTAGCCATATTTAGACTATTACCTGTAATACACCTTTCCACTCTAAATAGATTTGGTTTTGGTGCGAGTTTTGACATCGGCCATAGAGCCTCCTCACCAAGGTTATAGGACTGCATGTATATATTTTGATTCTAAAGCAGCTCAACAGACGTAAAGAAAAAGCCTGCACAGGTCCCTTTTCATGGTCTTTTTCAGGGTCAAATGTCTGCACAGGCTGCCTGTGTTGACTGACTGTATATTGCATGAATAAAACAGACCAGCTAGGCTACAACTACTTAGTTATGTCTCGTTGAATGAATTTCTCTTATTGACGCGCCTAATGCGCTCGATATTGGAATATATTTGAATCTAGTTGCGTAGATATATTTCTACAGCTGCAGAAGAATCAAAAGAGTCAACTTTTAAATTTATTAAAGAATTTATTAACTAAAAGTGATGAATACAGTTTCTATACAATGTGTAGGATATTAGAAACAAATTGACAATCCGGTTCATAAAATTAATAAAATGCATATAGTTTACAACAGAATACAGCCATGATTCTGAAACTGTGTAATCAATAAAGTAATGACAATTTTGTAAGACCACTGTAATTCTGCAACTGTACTAGAATAATACCAATGCAGTTATGATTGTATTTGATGTAATGTGATCAACTGGAATGCATGCATGTAATACTTGAACAACAACTGATATTGACTGAGGATCATTCGAAATCCGAGTTACATTGAACTCACCAGAAGACCACTCCCAGAGGTGTGGACACTGACTTTCACACCTTTAAGCATTGTTATAAATACCTGTAGGAACCATTGTTCTGGAGTTCACAGGTGGAGGCGACAGACGGGCACTAGGGATGGTCAAAGGACTGACCTGGGGCCTGTTGGTCGCTGAGACCAGCGGCTCCTCAGCTGAGATGTTCTTTTTACCGCAACACCATCTCCTTTATTAAATACATTTGATTTTAACCTTTTGATCAGCGATGACCTCTGTCTGTCCGGCGTTTCTTCATTTTTGAACACAACAAATGCAATGCAAACATACAATACAAACAGTCCACAAAGGTCCCACGGTGCTCGTGTCCCATCTTTAAATTGTGAAGTGTTGGGAAAGCCCTCGAATGAGGCCTCACTTCTTTGTTCTCGAAACAAAGAATCAAAAGAGTCAACTTTTAAATTGATTCAAGTTTTTTAATTTTGTTTAAAAATTTTAAACAAAGTGATAAAGAATACAGTTACAATACAATACAATAGTTACAATACAATACAGTTACAATAGTTACAATACAATACACGTTACAATACAGTCCACGAAGGTCCCACGTTGATCTCGTCCCACGTCGTTCATCTCCGATGGTGCGTCCCCCAATGGATCTCGTCCCTCGTCTTTCCTCTCCGATGGTGCCTCTCACTGGTTGATCTCGTCCCTCGTCTTTCCTCTCCGATGGTGCGTCCCTCGTCTTTCCTCTCCGATGGTGCGTCCCACGTTGATCTCGTCTCTCGTCGTTCATCTCCGATGGTGCGTCCCACGTTGATCTCGTCCCTCGTCTTTCCTCTCCGATGGTGCGTCCCACGTTGATCTCGTCCCTCGTCTTTCCTCTCCGATGGTGCGTCCCTCGTCGTTCCTCTCCGATGGTGCGTCCCACGTTGATCTCGTCCCTCGTCTTTCCTCTCCGATGGTGCGTCCCACGTTGATCTCGTCCCACGTCGTTCTTCTCCGATGGTGCGTCCCACGTTGATCTCGTCCCACGTCCTTCTTCTCCGATGGTGCGTCCCACGTTGATCTCGTCCCTCGTCTTTCCTCTCCGATGGTGCGTCCCACGTTGATCTCGTCCCTCGTCGTTCCTATTCAATGGTGCGTCCCACATTGATCTCGTCCCACCTGGATCCTCTCCGATGGTGCGTCCCACGTTGATCTCGTCCCTCGTCTTTCCTCTCCGATGGTGCGTCCCACGTTGATCTCGTCTCTCGTCGTTCCTCTCCGATGGTGCGTCCCTCGTCGTTCCTCTCCGATGGTGCGTCCCACGTTGATCTCGTCCCTCGTCGTTCCTTTCCGATGGTGCGTCCCACGTTGATCTCGTCCCACGTTGATCCTCTCCGATGGTGCGTCCCACGTTGATCTCGTCCCTCGTCTTTCCTCTCCGATGGTGCGTCCCACGTTGATCTCGTCCCTCGTCTTTCCTCTCCGATGGTGCGTCCCACGTTGATCTCGTCCCACGTCGTTCTTCTCCGATGGTGCGTCCCACGTTGATCTCGTCCCACGTCCTTCTTCTCCGATGGTGCGTCCCACGTTGATCTCGTCCCACGTTGATCCTCTACGATGGTGCGTCCCACGTTGATCTCGTCCCTCGTCGTTCCTTTCCGATGGTGCGTCCCACGTTGATCTCGTCCCACGTTGATCCTCTCCGATGGTGCGTCCCACGTTGATCTCGTCCCTCGTCTTTCCTCTCCGATGGTGCGTCCCACGTTGATCTCGTCTCTCGTCGTTCCTCTCCGATGGTGCGTCCCTCGTCGTTCCTCTCCGATGGTGCGTCCCACGTTGATCTCGTCCCTCGTCTTTCCTCTCCGATGGTGCGTCCCACGTTGATCTCGTCCCTCGTCGTTCCTCTCCGATGGTGCGTCCCACGTTGATCTCGTCCCTCGTCTTTCCTCTCCGATGGTGCGTCCCACGTTGATCTCGTCCCTCGTCTTTCCTCTCCGATGGTGCGTCCCACGTTGATCTCGTCCCACGTCGTTCTTCTCCGATGGTGCGTCCCACGTTGATCTCGTCCCACGTCGTTCTTCTCCGATGGTGCGTCCCACGTTGATCTCGTCCCACGTTGATCCTCTCCGATGGTGCGTCCCACGTTGATCTCCTCCCTCGTCGTTCCTCTCCGATGGTGCGTCCCACGTTGATCTCGTCCCTCGTTGTTCCTCTCCGATGGTGCGTCCCTCGTCGTTCCTCTTCAATGGTGCGTCCCACGTTGATCTCGTCCCACGTCGATCTTCTCCCGATGGGTGCGTCCCACGTTTGATTTCGTCCCCACGTTGTGTCTCTTCGATGGTGCGTTCCCACGTTGATCTCGTCCCACGTTGATCCCTCTCCGATGGGAGCGGCCCACGGTGATCCTCGCCCCCCGCCTTTCTCTCCCCAAG